TCAGAACTTGTGAGGCTGAAGCAGGAAGATTTCCATGTGTTCAAGGCTAGCCTGGGCTACATAGTGAGTTCAAGCCCAGCTTGAACTATGTAGTGAGACTCTGTCTCAAAAAGAAAAAAAAAAAAAAAAGAGTTCTAGGGCAGCCCGAACTACAAAGGGAGAGCCTGTCTCAAAAAATTAAGTTATGGGTACTGGGATTTAGCTCAGTGGTGCCGTGCCTGCCTCACAAGTGCAATGTCCTGAGTTTGATCCCCAGTACCCAAAAAATAAAATAAAATTAAGTTATAATATTTCTGTTAAAGAAACACTAATTTGGTTTGGCATTTTAAGAATTTAGTTTCTTAAAGCCAGGTGTGATGGCACACCTCTATAATCCCAGCACCTAGGAGGCTAAGGCAGAAGGATTGCTTGGAGTGTGAGGTCAGCCTCGGGTACAGATCGCCAGGCTGCAGTTCAAGGCCAGGCTGAACTGCATAGCAAGACCTTGCCCCCCAAAGTAAATAATTAAATAAAAACAAAAACAAGAAGTTGAAGCCCAGGCTGGGGTATTTAACAACAGAGCAAGACCCTGTCTCAAAAGAAAAAATGAAGAAGGGCTGGGGATGTAGCTCAGTGAGAAGGTGCTGGGTTTGGGTCCTAGTATTAGTGCAGACAGAATACCGGAATTCACTCCCCTGCACCCACATGAGCCTGGGCGGCACCCTAGGGCCACCCCTCCACTCACCTGATTTCGGGTGCCACCCTGAGAATGTTCCATATAACCCCGCCCCAAAGCACAGGCTGCCTGCCCCTCTCCCCCCTCCCCTCCCCTCCCCCCTGCCCCTCCCCCTGGCCCCTCTCCCTCTATCCTGAAAGCTGCCCTTACCTGTACAGCCTGCAGTGTTCCCTTTCTGTCACCCCAAACCCCTTTCTCTGCTCGTGACCTCCAATGAACATAGCTGCTTCTCCCTCTCTATAGAGTGTACACTTTACAATTCTTTGTTTTCCCTATGCAAGAGCTTGGGATCGGTCTTTGGGATCTACAGAGGGTTACAGTACCACAAAGTCGGGCAGGGGCCTGGGAGACTCCACTGCCTGGAGATCTGCCACCACGTCCTGCCCTCATCTCTCATCTCAGAAACTGCACACCAGTGTGAACCCCTTCTTTATAACTCCCCCAGTCTGTGTGGTGTCATTAACAACAGAAAATGGATTCAGACAATGTCCCATCCTACATCAGTTTCCCAATCAGCCTAAGAGCTTGCAGCCCGCAAAACAGAGTTGAAAGTGCTTTATAAGGAATTAATAGTAATGTTGCATTATTCCACTGTCTTAAAACTGCATAGAATGATTAAAAAACAAACAAACAAAACCTTCATTTGAGCCTCAACATTTAAAACCAAGATGCTGACCTCACCGGAAACCCACTGAGAAATGCTTTGCTAAACTGAGCACCTGTCTCCCTTTACACAGCCCATAGTATGTGCGTGGTCCTTTTGATACAGGAGAAAGATAACCTCCAATCTGCTAGGATGTCAGATATGCTGAGCTCACGTTCCCTGAACTCCATGAATGAATTCCAAAGGACAAAGAAGGTTAAGTGTAGGAAAGGTGTGTTGGGAGCAGTGCTACGTAATTTTAGGGAAAAATCATTTGGTTAGCCTAGTTCTCCTGCCTACAGCCCAGCTATGGAATTCTGAGACATAATTCCATTTTGGCCTCTGATCACAACTGAGACCTCAATGATCCAGTGATGCTGTGATTCTCCAGGACAAGATTACACCAGTTGAAGACATCCTGGGAGGGACAAAATCTTCATCTTCTCAATTCCTCATTGTTCTTGGATTGTTACATTTTGTTTGCGTGGATGTACTGAACTCTGCAAGTCATTTGTTACATTTGTTTTTCCCAAAGTAAACTGGGGGCTTTCCTTTTTGCAGCTCAGAGCAGCACTGATCAGACCCAAAGCTCAGCTTCTTCTCAAAGCCTCATTTTTCTACCTTTCTTGTAAGTCGCCTTGTGCTGCCGTGGCTCGAAGGAGACTAGGACTTACTGCAGAGGTTCTAGTAACGTCCCCTTTCCCTGTTCCCTACAAAGGTGGAGCTGGGGACTTAGCTCAGTGGCACCATGCCCGCCTCTAAAGTGCAAGGTCCTGAGTTCGATCCCTGGTAGGGGCAGGGGGAGAGTAGGACAGGTTTACTGGAGAATAGGAATAGCTTCTGAGAGACAGGAGGGGTCCTGAGAGGGTTGCCACAGGGGTAATTTATACAGCAAAGTCACAATGCGGGTACAGATGTAATCAACCAATAAATTAGATTACAAGTATAGCCACTTAGCTAATATTGATCCAGTAGGGAAGCAAGGCACATAGCAGGGTCATATGATTGACATCATTAACCTTGGTTTATCTATGAGGCCTAAAACAGGAACATTTTGGGGAAAGGATGGGTCCAGGTGTTCTGATCACACATCAGAGGTGTCTGGGTGTCTGACGCACCTCTGGACTCAATGGACTGAGTGGTACCAATTACAGTATAATCTCATTTCCATTCATCCCTTAGGGAGGTATGGAAGTCTGACCATTGTGACTTTAATCTCAAGGCTCAGCCTTCTTCAGATGCAGCTCCAGCCACAACTCTGATGTCTTTATTTCTCAATGACTTTTTTGACAATGCAGTCCCTTTCTGATTGTATATTAATTTCTATCTAACTTAGCTGCCTATAACAGTTTCATTGTCACCATCACTTTGCCCCAGTGTGTATATGGGATCTTACACAGGTCACTTGAATTCCCCACGGGGCATCATGGTGGGTAAAATACACCCCAAGATATTTTTCTACTGGAAATATGTACTTTAGCATAACTGTCACTGGCTGTGTGTCTCAGTAGCTGCTCTGGTCCAATACAGGAAGCAGTCTTTGTGTTCACTTGGTATGGCAAACAATAAGGTATATGCACATATATCAAAGTGTAAATGGCATGTTTTATGCACGTTTTGTGCAGTGTTACATTTTTGTGTATTTATAGTTTTTTATTACATGTTTTCATTTGATTTTCATTGTAGAACTACCCCAGTTCAGTACAGTGTGACATGAAAATTCGCTTTTATAACTTTAGGAGGAGGAGGTTGAAAGTGAGTCATCAGGTGATTTAGCTATCAACGATGACTTGGATCACATAAGCCAAAGAAGTTAGCAAGATATGACAGAGAAGTGCAGAATGAAGACTTTGTTTCAGATGAGGAATAAAACAGTCATGTAAATAAGTATTTGACTAGTCAAATGCTATGAGATAGTCATGAAATATCTGAACAATCCAATATTAGAACTAGGTCAGAAAATGTTATTAGGGTCCTTCCAGGGGTAAAACTGAGTTAGGAGATTAGGATGTGTCAAAAGCTGGCTGGGGAAGTGACCTGTTAACCACAAGACCCCGGACACATCTGCAGCACAGTTCCCAAAGCCCTGCATGTGAACTTCTGGTGAGCACTGGAGCAGGTGTTCAATAGGATGGCCTAGACCTGACATCAGCCTGAGGCGTGGGATCTAAGCACCGCCTCTCAGGACCTGGATGCAGAAATTCTCTCAAGCTTCCTCAAGATTTAGACAGCACAAAAGGACGACATAGCGATGCCGTGAAAACTTTGCTATTGTAGCTTTCCACCATAGCCCACACTGTGTTTCCTAGATGCAATGTGTGCTTTTATCTTTGCTCTCACCCTTTCTTTTTACTTGGCCCAAGCTTGCTCTTCAGAGCGAGTTTCCCATTCTTCAGTTTTGCTTTTTTGAATAAACTTTGCTACTGCTTAAAAAAATATGCTGAAACTTGTAAAATTAAAATTAATAGATGGGCTTAGTGGCACATGTCTGTAATCCCAGCACAATCCCAGCACTCGGTAGCTTGAGGCAGTTGAGGATTGCCTTTAAGGCCAGCCTTAAAGCCACCCTGTCTCAAACAAAACAAAATTAAAATGAATAATTCATCACTAGAAATACTCCCAGAAAATAAACATGAGCGTTACACACCTAAATAATGTACCCTTTGAAAAAATTTAACCTGATGCCCCTAGGTGAATGTTCTTAGTTCTACATGACTTTCATTGCCAAAGGGTTCCTAGGATGATACCAGTCAGCTGAATTCCTGGGCTGTTTATGAACATGAAATCCAAAGAACCCTTCCACGATTCTCTTTTGGGAAGATGATTTTAAGGGCTCAGTTGGTCCAGCATCCTGGGAAAGAACGTGATCCTTGCTGGGCTTAAACTTTCTTTGGAGCATGGAGCCACATCCCGAAGCCTCAGGGTGGATTATTTCCCCCAAATGAGATTTTGAGACAGGGACTACTAATCATCATGGCTAGAATCATGGGTTATTGTCATCCTCTGGGTTTTTTTTTTTTAAGAGACAGGGTCTTCCTATATAGCCCAAGCTGGCCTTGAACTCATTATATAGCCCAGGCTGGACTTGAGCTCTAAGCAAACCTCCTGCCTCAGCCGACGTTACCCCTGTGTACCACCGTGCCCAGCTCCTACGTAGCTTCTTGACACTCATAGGCTGAGCATTTAAGAATGCCTCAGTGGCACCCGTGAGGAGACAGAAACTGGCAGAGATGGAAGAAAGGAAGAACGGGGACAGAACTCCGGTTTAAGGAGCTAGAGATGTGAGGCGCTGGTTCTGAAGGCCTATTCTACTTGGGGGGCGGTGAGAGGCTGGTTGATCCTTATCTGAATTCTGATTTACAAACTGTTCCTGCCAAGAACCAGGTGTGGTGGCACACACCTATAATCCTGGGACTCTGGGAGGCTGAGGCAGGAGGATCACAAGTTTACACCTGGACTGAACAATTTAGCAGATTAGGGAGAACTTCTTTATTTATTTATTTGAGACAGAGTCCTGCCTTGTAGTTTAGACTCGCCCTGAATACAATAAGTAGCCCAGATGGCCCCAAAACATAATGATCATCCTCCCTCAGCCTCCCAAGTGCTGGGATTACGGGCGTGAGCCACCACACCCAGCAGTCTCAACATTTAAAAAGGAGCTGAGGCAGTGGTGGTGCGTGCTAGCACTCCGGAGGCTGAAGCAGGAGGATCCAGAGCTCTAGGCTGTTCCCCCCAGCCCTGGTGATAGAGGGGAAATGAATGTAACTCCCCACCCGTAGATATCGGATACGCCGAGTTCCTGGGACCCAGAATCGAGGAGGTTCACAGGAGGGAGATTTTGAGCGAGAGAGAGAACTTCTGAGAGACAGGAGGGGACCAGAAAGTGGGTTGCAAACAAGCCCACTTCTCAAAGCAAGCTTCACAGAGCGAAATCAAGAGGTGAGTACGAAGTCGACAGGTGGGTACAACGTGGACCCAAACTATGATCGGGCAATAAGATCACGAGTGTGCTGCGCAGGTAACACTGATCCAGTGGGGAAGCAGGTCAGTAGCAAGTGTGCGTGGCAATCAGAAGGACCTGTAGGAAGGGATGGATCGGGAGGTCCCTGTCTCCCACCGGGGTGACTGATGTCCAGCTAGACTCTTGGACCGGGTGGTACCAGGTACAGTCGAATCTTCCATCCCTGCTTATCCCCTGGGGAGGCCGCAGGCCTGGCCCTGCTCTTTATCTAAGGCCCGGCCTCGGACAGATGCGTCCCCGGGCACAGCTGTGTGTTCTCATCCCCTGCACCCGCTCACTCCCTGGAGGGCCCGGCCCTGTCTCACTGCCCGTGCTGTCCGTCCCCACCTTGGCTGTGTGCAGTTCCAGGGGCCATGGAGAGCGGCGCTGGCGGCGGCGGGCGCGCCTGGTGGACGGTGGCCGAGCACTTCCAGGCCCCGCTGGTCTTCTACGTGGACGCGGAGCAGGAGGAGCTCGTGTTCGGCCGCGAGGACAGCGACCTTCGGCGCATCGAGGAGCACAGCCACACTCTGATCCAGCTGGAGGCCTGGGCCACGGCGGCGGGCCAGACGCGCGTCACGGTGGTGGGGCCCCCGGGGGCGCAGCGCTGGCTGTGGGAGCTGCTGTGCAGCCTGGGCAGCGGGGAGCCGGGCGGCCAGGCCCGAGGCCACGCGATGCTGCAGCTCGTGCGCAGCCGCCCGCTGAGCTGGGCCGAGCTGGCCGCCGCCGGCCGGGAGCAGCATCAGGTGGGGAACATGTCCCCGGCAGCCTGAGTGCGGCTGTGGTCCTGCAGGTGCCTCGGGTCCTCCTGGTCCTGTGGCTCAGCTGCTCTGGCTTCTTCTGGAGCTCACTGCACCCAGGACCAGGGCCCGAGTGAATCCCCAGAGGCCAAGCTGGGAGAAGCTTACTGGGCGTGGATCCCAGCTCCTCCTGTGTGGACAGCTCCAGGCCTGCGTCTGGGGCGAGAAGTCCCACGGCAGGAGAACTGCTCTGCTGCCCTGACCCCCGATGACACCACGCCAGCCCCTTACTGAAGCCTGAGAGCTGTGGAGTCAGCCTGGGCAGTACAGCAAGTTGGAGACTGGCCTGGGGTACACAGGAGACTTTGTCCCCAAAACTGAAAAAGTGTTCAACGGGAGGGGATTGTGGAGGGGGAGAGGGTGGTGACTATAATGAAGATGTCATGTACGTGTACCAAGGCCTCATGATAAATGTAATCGTTATGTATTGCATCATGTATTAATCAAAATAAAATTTATTCCTCCCCCCCTTAAAAGTTGTGTGTTGGCAGCGGGCTGGAAGGAGTGGTGGAGTTACACACACACACACCCAAGTCACGAGGGAGGCCAGAGTGCTGGGAAGCTAGGAGCCCCCATGAGGCCCCCCTTCAAGGGTGCCGGCTGTGGGGGCCTGCAGAATTTGGGGCGGCCTCAGAACACCTCAGCTTAGTAGGCACGGTTAGAAATGAGGGAGTTGCAGGCTGCAGCCCCACCTGACCACTTAGGGTGCACTTTCCTTGACAGGCAGGGCTGTTGGCCAGGGCTGGCTTGGTATATGCCTCCCGCTCAGCCTTCTGCTTCTCCCCACCCCAGGCCATTAGTGCAGAAGCCGGCAGGACCCCATGTAGGAGAAGCTCAGGGCCATGGTTCAGGGACACAGTGCTGTACAGTTGCCATGGCAATCTCCATGCACACTCGGGGTGCAGGCATGGCCTGGGGTGACCATTTGGGCTTCAGGGATGCACCTTCCCGGTAGATGTGGTCACCCGGACCCTTGTGCACAGCAGCCAGAACTTTAGATTACATTGTTATGGATGAGTGAGTTAGAGCAGTGGAGATGCACCACACTCTGCCAGGTTCCAGCCCTTTATTGTAGTCCGTGGCTGAGGGGCAGGGGGTAGCGCCCTGAAAGTTCTCTGGGCAATGGAAAACGGTTTGATTTCTCCTTTCAAATCATGCTTTCAGTTGGGGAGGGCTCAGGGGAGAGCAAGCGGAATCTTACAGAAGCAGAACCCTGCCGGGTCAGTGGGGGTGGGGGGTGGGGCATGAGGAAGTGTCACACACTAGGTGAGCTGCAAAACATCCTGCAACTGCAGCAGGTTTACTTCCAAACAGCATGTGCGGGTTTGGGGTGCTTTGTTCATTCACTGAAGCACGGGTACAAAATGGCGTGAGGCTCAAGATGGAGTCAGGTTGGCTATCACAACATACAGCACTTCAGGTCATGGTCCCCCCAGGGGGAGTCTCAGGCTCCACAATGGGCAGAGTGCCATTCTGCCAGCAGATGCTGACATAATGGGCTAGAATGCTGATGTTTTCCCTGATGGCAAGGGGTGAGGGGCTGTGTTCTCCAGTCTTTTGCACACAGCGCCACTTGATGCCCATGACACCACCCTTGGATCTGATGACTTGGGGGAGAGGACATCTGTCATCCTCCTTCTGCTAGAGCTCATGAAGGGGACGACACCCCCAATGCAGGGATTCATGAGGTCCTCAGCTGTCAACAGCTGACCTTGAACTCACTGTGTGGCCCAGGGTGTCCTTAGAACACACAGCGATCCTCCTGCCTCAGCCTCCCCGAGTGCTGGGATGACAAGTGAATGCTTCCACACTTGGCTTCTTTTTCCAAAACTTTTAGAGGCAGGGTCTTGCTATGTGTCCCAGGTTGGGGTTAAACTCTGGGTCATCCTGTCTCAGCCTCCTGAGTAGCTGGACTTGCAGGCATGCTCTGCTGTGTCCGACTAGATGTGCCTTTGATGGGAAGTGTGTCAGGGAACCTGTAGACTGAAGAGTGTTAGCCGAGTGTGTCCTCCGTGAGGTAGGGTCTGTTGGCCCATTTTTTTTTGTTTTTTTTGGTACCGGGAATCGAACTCGGGTCCTTGCGCTTGTGTAGCAGGCGGTGAAACCATTGAGCTAAATCCCCGGCCCTGTTGCCCCGTTTTATAGATGAGGAAACAGGCTCAAGATGTAGGCCTGTGATCCCAGCACCAACCTGACCAGAACACAATTGCTGTACCTACATGCACTTCTAGAACCTGGCCACACCCAGCTAAGAGGCTCCAGGCTGGGCAGCCTTTGTCACTGGCTTGGTGAGCAGATATGGCAGAAGTGGCACCGTGCACCCAGAGATAGGGCTTCGGCCTGGGGAGGAAGCTGCCTTGCATTGTCAAGGGCTGGCAGGAAGTGGCGGCCTCCTGCTGATCCTCCTTCCATCTGAAAAATGCAATGCCCAGATCTCAGACTCATGAACAAAACCAACCCTATGTTATTTATCTTTGTTTTAATTACATTTTTATTTCTATTGGTACATGTTTGTGGTGAACAACGTTTACATCCCTCATGTGGAGTTGGTATGAATACGAGATATTATAACTCCTTTTTTTTGTGGGTACCGGGGATCGAACTCGGGACCTTGAGCTTGCAAGGCAAGCGCTGGAACCACTGAGCTAAATCCCCGGCCCGAAACTATGCAATATCTAAGCTTGTGTGTCTGATTTCATTCTTTTTAAAAATTAATTAATTAATTAATTTTTTATCCCATTCCCCTCTCAATTATTTCAATTAACATTATGGTCTCAACCTGGCTGTGCAGGTGCATGCCAGTAATTCCAGCACTTGGGAGGCTGAGGCAGGAGGATTGTCATGAGTTCGAGGGCAGCCTGGGCTACAGAGATACTCTCTCTGAAACAAAAACAAAAACAAAAAGTGGTTCTAAGGGCCATCATTTTCCTACAAATGACTTGCCTATTCTTCTTTATGGGAGAGTAGTACTCCATATGATACCAATTTTCTTTATGCATTCATCTGTTGATGGACATACAGGGTACTGCTAAGATTTAGCTATTATGAATTGTGCTGGTATAAATATGGGTGTGCATAATGAATGTTATTTTCACTCCTAAGTTTTCAGGTAATGTGTCACGCAGCTATAGTGAGGTGACCACAGCACACACTTAGTCACACAGCCAGGACCTGAACTCAGGACCCTGGACTGTGGCACTGGTGCACCCAGTCCTAGCACCTGCTCTGCAAATATCGCAATCTACCCTTGGTGCCACCCAGCGCTGTCACTTCTACCTGCGTGTCCCAGAGTTGCTTCACAGTCCTGTGTCTACAACCACTCCCCTCTGCTGTTCCTCAGAGCCTGGCTCCCCTGGGTGGGGGACAGCGGCATGGTGGCTTCAGGGTGACTCTGCACAGTACCTTGTGTGAGTCCTGGCAGGATGCCCTGTGATCTTTGGCTGTGGGAGGTGGGCAGGCCTGGGAGCTGCTGCAGCGTCCTGTGCTTGCTGCCCTCTGGGCTGTCCCGAGAGATTTTCATCTCCTGGGGCTCAGTGGAGGTGAGGATGTCCTGCCCAGGGCCACCTCCCCTCAGACATGGGGTCCCAGTCATGCTGCAGTCAGCAGGCCCCCTTCGTTTCAGAGGTGTGCTTTTTGGTGTGGGGACCTGGTGCCTCTGGCTTATTCCTTTTGCTGACTATATAAATGATAAATTTATTAAACATTTTTTTTTCTGGAGCTGGGGATTAAACCTAGAGGTATCATACATCGTAGGCAAGTGCTCTGCCACTGACCCACATCCCCAGCTGCTAAACTGTCTGTTTTACGAGAGCGCCTTGTAATTTACTGACTTAGGATTTGGCCTGGGCCATATATGTGTGACCTTGCCACTGTGCTTCCTCATTTTCATCATCCACAGAGTGCACACAATATTTACTGAACAAATTCATTCTTTTTGTTTGTCTTTGGTTTTTTGAGACAGGGTCTCTCTATGCAGTTCAGGGTGCCCTTGAACTCTCGGTGGTCCTTCTGCCTCAGCTTCCCCAGGGCTGGGATTGCAAGGTGCACCACCACACCGGCTCTTCCCCAAGTAATCCTGAAATACCATTTTGTTTGTAAGTTTTTTGTACTAGGGATCGAACTCGGGACCTTGTACTTACAAGGCAGGCAAGGTGCCACTGAGCTAGATCCCCAGCAGAAGTACCATTTTGTATACGGCACCCTAAAGTTCAGACTTAAGGCTGACACACTTTAGCCTCTTAAGACTACAACTTGGTCACCTGCTGTTTCTCTGAGTTCACCACCCACTAATCCTCCACATCAGCCTTGGCTGCTTGCCATCTCACCATGCACAGGCTGAATATCACTTTCTTTTTCCCTGAAATGTTCCTCTGCCACTAGCTCTCCCGAGCCTGGTTACTGAGCTCTCTGGGGGCTTTCGGCTGAGTCAGAACTGGGCAGGCAGGACCGGTTCACTGGCAGGTTGTACTATGTCTGCGACACGCAGTGAGGACTGGGGTCTTTGGTTCAGTTTTGCTTTTTCAGCAGTGGGGACTGAAGCCCCAGGGCCTCCTGTGTAGCTATATCCCCAGCCCTCTTCATTTTGAGATGGGGTCTCACCAAGTTTCACAGCTGGCCTTGAACCTGAGACCCTTCTGCCTTAGGTGCCAGTAGTTGGGACACAGGTGTGCCCCATAGGGCCTGGCTTCAGGGATTCTTCTTTGTGGAGCCCTGGAGTTGGCTGCAAAGTTCTGCTGTCTGCGCTTAGCTGCAGGCATGGAGGAGGGAGGATGGCGGAGGGAGGAGGTCGCTTTGGGTCCGCTTGTGACTCACCAGAGGCCAGGAAGCCTTGAACTTGGCAGAGGATGGAGTAACCGTGGGCATGAAAGGAAAGGGCCAACAAACCCTGTTCGGTTTCTGGAGCCCCAAGCCTGGACGGGTGCCCACCCCCGTGTGGCTCTGGCAGTCATCCACCTCCCGGGCACAGGCACTCACCGGGCAAGCAGAAAGGGTGTCTGCACCGTGTACACAGTTGGGTTTGTGACAGGAATTACTTTACCTAAAATTGTTTCCTAGTCAAGTGTTGTCTGATGTGACACCACTTAGGCCGGGCCACATGGTGCTGTTTGTATGTTCCCGTTTACACAATGCCCCGCTATCTGGGAATGATGGACTCTCCCTCTCCTTATCTGTGCCCTCTTCCCCTGGTTGGGTGGGTGTCGAATTGGTCCAGGAGTCCACTGCCACCGCCCGAGTCATGGCCACAAGGCAAGCTTCCGCACTGACCCTGACGGTCGTGTGCCAAATTAAAGCAGGCTCCTGCATCATTCGTGAGCTGCTCTGTTAATGTGGAACAGAAAGTCACTGCAGCTAGGCCCTCCTCCGCTGCAGAAGTGAGCATGTTAGAGCAGAGCTGAGTGCCATATTGCACCCACAGTCCCAGCTACACGGACGGTTGAGGCAGGAGGCCTGTGATTTTGAGGCCAGCCTGGGCAACTCAGAGGCTGTCTCAAAAAATAAAAATGGCTGGGGATAGCTCAGTGGTACAGCCACCCTGGGTTCAATCTCCAACACTACCAAGAAAAAAAAAGTTATGCTAAAATAAAGTATCTAGCACAACAGCTAAGGGTCCAATGCATGTGTGCTGGTGCTATTTAAGAAACTATTTGATAAGAGAGCTTTCCTCATGAACTGCAGTAGCTTTTACAGTTGTAGAATTCATGTTTGAAATGTTTGATCAGGAAATCACTGGCCTTGGGCTGGGCATGGTGGCACATGCCTGTGATCCTAGCACTTGGGAGGCTAAGGCAGGAGGATGTGAGTTCAAGGCCAGCCTGAACTACATAGCGAGACCCTGTCTCAAAAAAACCACCCCCCCAAAACAAAACAAAAACCCCAAAAACTCCTGGCCTTAACACTATTTAAATGCGTGCAAATGATCAGTGAATTTTGTTATTCAAAAATTAAAAAGACTTGCTGGCTAAAGTTGAATGAATAAAGTTGGACCACGGTTTTTTCCTCTAATATATAATAAAGTAAAAAAAAGGTCACCTGTCACAAACTGTTACGTGAAACTGGATCATAGCTGATGGACCATAAAGCCTGATGAGGACTCAAATGGGAGGAGACAAACACACTTCTGCCAGGCCTACTGCGGTGCTGCCACGCACCCAGCTGTCACCGCCAGAGCCCTGTGATACGCTAGAGACTCACTTAGCTGCCAATCAAGACTTAAAAATTATGATTTGTAGAAAAGGTCTGCCTTTCCTTTTTCTTTTTATAAAAACCGGCTCTCTTGGAGCTGGGCTGCTTCCCCAAGGTCAGGCACTCTGGATTCCGGTGTTTTCCTGATGTCGTGTGTACACTCTGCCCCAGGCTAGCAAGCCACCCAATAGGAGTTTGTTTTTCCCAAGAGCATCTAACTCAGAATTTGCCACGAAGTATGTTTGCACTGTTGTAGACCAAGAACCATTTGTCCCATTTGTCGGAAACTACCTCAGAGCCACTTATTTTATCTCAACAGTGGGTCAAAAAACCCAAGGCCACACTTTTTAAGTGCTGCACTTTTAATTCCATTAAAAACAAGCAACCACCTTCAACATATCAAGTGCTTAGATTTGCATTTCTGTCTGTAGGGAACGACCACACAAGACCGACCCAACACAACAAAAGCAATGAACAGGGGAATTCAGTGGTGGGTGTGACCACTGTGGCTGGTGGGGGGAGAATGCAAGAGCAACGGGCTGCTCAAGTGGAGGCGTCCGCGTGGGTCCTGAGACCCCAGCAGTCAGCCTCTTGGAGGGCGAAGGGCCGACTCAGCGACCCCAGCCCGGTGCCACTCGGTCCGCAGGGCTCTGGGAGCGGGTCACACAGGGCGGGGGCGGGCTCCAGCGCTGATGCTCCAGACTTCTTCGGCCACAGCGCAGCCTGCCGGACCCTGGGACTGTTCTCAGCCCCTCAGCTCACCCCTCAGGACGCCCTCCTGGACAGTGCCCGAGGAGCGAGGAAAACAATCCAACGTTCCAGCTGTCCCCTTCCACATCCGCCAGTCACCGAAAAGCACACGATGGAAATTCCCTAGACGCAGCTCTTTTCCTGTTTAGTGCACTCCGCGCTGTGCCTTCCGGAGGGCCAGGGTGAGGGCGAGGGCCCCGAGGCGCCTCACAGGGGCCGGCCGGGAGCTGTCTAGCGCGGCGACTCGGCTAGTCACCGTTCCCAGACGGCTCGCGTGTGAAGGACTTCTGTGTCAGAGGAAGGCTCCGCGGACTTCTTCCCCAGAGCCTCGGAATGTACCTTTTGGAGACCTGCAAACCCCAGGTGGTGACTACACTGTCAAGACTACCTGACCAAAGAGATGTGTGTATTTACATAAAAACCAGTTAAACGCACAGATCATTTTATACCACAGTTACAAACAGGAACAGATGCTAAGTTTGGTGCTTTACTATGCAACAAAATGCCTTTAAAAATTGTGAAATGACCACGTGGCCACATTCTAAGCAGTAACTGAGACCCCTAGTCTGTTCAACAATAAACATCAGGTGTGTGAAAACGTAAAATTAGTAGAAAATCAAACAGGTGACAAGAGTCATTAAAGCAGTGGCTCCCAAACTCATTAAAAAAAATAGTAGAATCAGCCAGGTGTGGTGGCACATGCCTGTAACCCCAGCACTCAGGAGGCTGAGGCAGGAGGATCGCTGCGAGCCTGGGCTACAGTGAGTTCATGGCCAGATGGAACTACATAGTGAGACCTTGTCTCAAAAACAAAAACAAAAAACCCCCCAAACAATCATTTCTAAATAGTGGAAGTGTTTTAGCCGCTAAAATCTTGTATGGCACCTGGCATACATGGGCTGCAGGGCCTGAAAGAGGTGAGAAGCTGGGAGCCTCCCAGGCTCATGCCCCTCGGGGTCCCCTCTTCCAGTCCCAAAGCAACTCCTCGCTGTCATCGGACTAAAGACTCCAGCTCCGCGTGCAAACTGCAGCTACCAGTTTTCACGTAACAGCAAACACGTCAGTTTGGACAGGATGCAAACACATTTTTCAGTTTCTACAGAAGGTCAGTTTCGGGCAAAGATGGCAGTTAGCAGAGTGAAGGAAAACCACTCTTAAACATCCCGTTAAAGTTTTTCAAAAGCCGGGGCTGAGCGCATGAGGCGCACCCAGGCAGCTTTCAGGTTTCGGTTTCAGTGCGCACCAGCATCGTCCCGCTGCCTATTAATAAAAACCGAAATTCCGAGGTCCCATTCCCACCTGCCTGCCTGGTTCTGGTTCGTGTTTTTGTTTTGTTTTCTTTTCTGAGACACGGTCCGGTCCGCTGTGTAGCCCAGGCTGGCCCTGAACTCGCTGAGGGCTTCCCGAGTGCGGGGATCACAGACGTGCGCCCCCTGCCGGGCCGGCCTGGCTCTGACACTGCGCAGCGTGCAGAGGATGCCTCGGACACAGGAGACCCGGCCGCCGACCGGCAGAGAAAGGCAGACACTGGGTCGAAAAGCAAAACCGACCTCTCCTGTCTTGCTGCCGAGAGTTACCTTCAGTTGGGTTGGGGCAGAGTCACAAAACTTTTTTTTCTTAAATTTCTAGATTTAAAAAAATAAATCTAACATTCCACTGTCCTAAATTGGGTAAAATTTAAAAACAAAAACAGTATTTTTAAAATAAAACGCTGGTTCTTGCTTCAATATTATCATTTTGAATGAAAGCTGCACAAAACTATCACCTATTCTACTGACTCTTTTCGTCCAAATTGGGTATTCAGGTCCATATTAATCTGTAAATTACCATAACCGTTAAATTTTCCAGTTAGCGCAAATTAAAAATCCTAAAACATACATTGGCTACAATTGTAGTTTATATTACAAATGCAAATTATTTTTCTTTTGACATGCTGGTAGTATTCATTTTTACAGCGCAAAAAGGACTGCAGTTTCTGAGTCTCTGTGTATTTTACAACTCCACGTAGGCAAATGTATTTCAAAAAGCAAATACTACATGTTTTGACACACCCTAAAAAAATAAAGACAAATAATTTTGAATATAAAATTTTTATAAACAATAGCCACATTAAAGGTTCACAGCTAGTAAGTAGTTGCAGAAAACCTAAAACACTTATGTCATCTTAATAGGCAATTTGTATTCTAAAACACAAGGCCGTTTGGCTCCTACTAAATATAACAAAGCACTGAACGTTATCATGTAACGAGCTGCCAGGTTTTCACTGTTTTAGCCATAAGTTTACAGGAATTAGGAATATATTAGGGCAGTAAAAGATGAGAGAAATGTGGCAACAGATAAGGAAATAAGATTTACTTCTTATATTTTTTCCTGAGAATGTAGAAGTTATTTAATACCAAGAAAATTTTAAATGGAAAAATCTTACATTATTTTGTAATGTACAGAATCCCTGGTAATATAAACAATTATTACTCTACTATATAACTTGTGAACATGAAGTCTTACAAATTGTATTCATTTAAACAAGGCACATGCCTATATATTTATCAGAAACGGTGGGTAACTAGTTCCTAAAAAGGTAGGTGAATTTTGCTAAAACAAGATAATATTATATTTTATGACACAGAATTCTGAAATAACTTTCCTAAAGAAAAATTAAGTCTGAATGAGTGAACAAGGCAGCAGAAAAACTTTATGAAGGGCCAGTCGGAAAAGAAAATACCTCACCAGATTATAACTGAAAAATTAATTTGTTTAAATAAATGAAAGCATTGTTCATTAATCTGTTGTAAATCCAGTGTAACATTGTGGTTAGAATAGTTTTAGCAATTAAAAAAACCTATGCAGTTTCTTGGTTGTTTTAATTCTTATTTCCCAAATTAACTGCTTTGTTTCTACTATAGTTAGCAATACCAGTTATAGGTATAATACAGCCTACAACAAAGTAAATATGACACTGTATTTATGAAATGTGGTATCTGTAACTGTCTTGATTATGAATTAAAGGATAAATTTCATAATACTCAAAATATGATCATCCATAAAGGAAAACTGACAAAACAACTTTTTTTTTATTTCAGAGACAGGGTCTCACTATGTAGTCTAGGCTGGCCTTGAACTCATGGCAGTCCTCCTGCCTCAGCCTTCCAAGGGCTGAGACTACAGGTGTGCACCACCATGCCTGGCTTTTCCCACCACTTCTGTGAGTGGGTTACCTACTATAAAATGTGAATGAATAAGCTGAAAACAGACTTGGGAACAAAATCTTTCAAATCCTAGAATTTAGCATCACCTGTGGAGATCTGGAAGGGGTTAATTTAGCAAGATAAAAGTATTCTATATGACGTGGTAGGTAACGGCCTACATTTACTGAGTTCTTTCAAAACATGGCATGGGCCTGAGGTGACTCAAACTGAAGTTCATGGCAATTCGTGGGTGATAGCTTCAGAGCGGATCCTTAAAGGAAGCTAATGGTTTTGGGGGATACATTCTTATCTTCCAGAGATTACAGTAATTTCATGAAAGAGCACCAAGCTCACAAATGGACCATCTGTCAGAAAAACTCCAGGCTGGACGCCTCGGTGTGCCTGGCTGCAGGGCCGGGGCTGCGGCTGACAACAGCCGAAGAGCGCCCTCTAGTGGGCAGTCACGGAACCACCCTTTAAAACGTATTTGCCAACCAAGAGACAACTAGCAGTGGAACAAAGCTTTTGGTCGTCCAGAAGCAGTAGGTGCTCAGTGCTTTTCATGGCCTCCCTCCTAAACACTGATAAGTGAGAACATCTTGGTGGTATATCTGTCAGGAGAATTAAGTTAGGATTTAATTATCTGACTGGGAGTAGCAGTTGCACAATGTATGTGACCAATTTAACTTACTAAATAAAGCTATATAATTCCAGTGTAAACACTAAACACAAGTCTGATACCACAATAAATAATAAATAAGTTAAAAATATATCTCTCTCTCTTACTGTAAAATAAATATGATATAAACATTTTAGCAGAGGCTTCTGTCCACTTACCTTCCCCAAGGGGGAATTTTGTCAAGTATGTTAGATACAAAAGACTACTGTATTCCAAAAATACAACAAGAACTACTGAACCTTGAAAACATGACAGTCTTGACTTTTTTTTGAACAATTCATTTGACTGTTGAGTTTAAGCATTTATATATTTTTTTGAGTTGTGGACACTGTCTTTTAATCAAAAGAGAATTCGGTGAACTGTCCAGTTTGGAACCCGTAACTTTCAATCCAAAGTGCTCTAAATGCTTTTTAAGAACAATTCACCTATCTGGTTCTCTTCTTATATAAAAAAAGATCCTGGGGCTGGAGTTGTAGCTCAGCGATACAGCACTTGCTTAGAATCTGTAAGGATCTGGGTTTAATCCCCAGCACCACAAAAAGAAAACTGAAGGACTTAAACATTTTACGTTTTGTCTTTCTTTTACATTCCTCTCAGGTTTTCTGGAAATCACTCCGTGGGGACTCACTTGTTTAGGGCACAGGAAGTCCGCAGAGGCATGCTGCCACGGACACCCAGCACCAACCATGCTGGTCTGAAGTTTCCTCTCAAAGAAAGCAAATTGGTTTGTAATGTGGTATGGTGTCACCGCACTAAAAATTAAGATGGACATGATCTTTCCACCCACATCCTGTCCATCCAATATGTGTTGTTCAAGAAAAAGCAATGAGACAGCGCATACTTCAGGGAGAGCCCCACTCTCAAACACAGCTGTGAAAAAATTTCACCTTCATGCTTTCTGTGACTTTTTCAGAGTTAGTAATACATGACCAAAGTATCTTGCTGAAAAAATTGGAGTTTGTAGGAGCTGGGAGTTTGGCAGCTTGGGGAATGCTACTTACATGAACATGTACCCATTGTACTATGAGTGAAATGAAAAATGAACAGCTGGTACAGAATTCCTCCTTCGGGAGGATCACCTATCTACATTTGTGCAGATGATACGCTAAGTTTGCACGTCTTCATCACTGTATTCAGCCTCCTTTACATCCTCTTGGTCCGAAGCACTGGAGATGTCATCATCCGTTTGTTCTCCAGAGAAATAAAGCATTGAAGCATGTGTCTTGTGAGTTATGGTGACAGTGCAGGGCCCTTGGGCCCACGGCTCCCCATCCACCTGCATTGGCATCATGGAGCACTTTAAGATCAACTGGTGGTAGGAAACAAATAATCAGAAAATGTCACCTCAAGAAAGTTCAGAAATGTTCTTGCTACTATCACCTGTGAGCACTTAATCCTGGTGCATTTTGTTTACTTATTTGGTTTTTTTTTTTTTTAAAAACAAGGTCTTACAAGGCTGGCTTTGAACTCACTATGTAGCTCAGGCTGGCCTTGAACTCGTGGCGATCCTCCTGCCTCAGCCTCCTGAGTGTCAGGACTACAGGTGTGCGCCACCATGCATGCCTGCATTTTGTTTTTAGGAAACCAATCTGAATGTATCTTAATTCATGGGTTGTTTAGGGATTCTTTTGCAGTGGACACTTTGTTTCTTCAACTGGATTGAGGACCTTGTCTGTTTCCTGGTATAGGGTAACTGACAGCAAGGGCCACAATGCACTGCTGAGAGAAAGGGTAATGCTTGGCAGCACTGCCTGCCAGGGCACTGCTTCACCTACCCGCACTGTGTGTGCTTGTCCTATGCGGAAGGGGTTTGCCAGTTTCACCTGAATCTGAGCGCAGTGGAAAGACCCGTACACACCGACGACTTCCAGCAGCCCATCATCATGCCTGACAGAGGATGATGGAATATGGGTTATGTGATGCAATAAGGTCAAATCAGCCGTGTGTTGGCAGTTTCTTTTTATGGGTTAAGATTTTTTTTTTTGGCATCGGGGATCGAACTCAGGACCTTGCACTTGCGAGTCAGGCAGTGGCACCACTGAGCTAAATCCAGGCCCAGCAGTTCCTTTTTAATTTCTTTTTTTCAGTACTGAGGACTGAACCCAGGGCTTCTGCACAGAGATAAACAACCAGACCCTTATAAGTTTTTTATTAAGACTAGGTCTCCTTAAGTGACTACATTGCTCAGGTGGGGCTTGAACTTGCATTCCTGCCTCAGCCTCCCAGAGTGTGGGGTCACAGGCATGTGGCACCAGGCTCTGCTGAGGGCATTTGCTTTTTATTTTTTGTTCTTGGTATCGGGGATCAAATTCAGGACCTTGAGCTTGGGAGGCAGGCGGTGGAACCACTGAGCTAAATCCCTGGTCCTGGCAGCTGCTTTTTAACACAGGTGGGCCATCAATTTATTAAGTGTTTATATTAATGAAGCATACAGAAGAGAAAATCTGATCGAGAAATGTGAAAGTTACGAAGAACTACAGAGTGCATTAAAGAAAAGAGAGATGTCACACAGCGAAAATGTACGTACCTGGCAAGAGGGTAAGTCTCGTCTCCCATCCCTTCCCAGAGTCTGCAGCCACCGCCCCAGTAGCCAATGTTGAGAACGATGATACCTTCCAAATTAGGCAGTTCCACTCGCTCACCATCCAGTTCTAGCTTTAAAGAAGTACAGGCAGTCAGTTACTACAGGGCGCACTCTCTGCACACACATCCACTCTCAACTCACACGTTTACGGTGGACTGCGTGACGCCTATGACTTCCTGCCTCTCTCACCGGGCATCGGGTCTCTCCCACCCCCTCAGATCTCAGAGCAGTCCTCTCTGCTGGCCCCTCATCTGCTGTGGCTGCGCCCTCTGACAGAAAGCCCAGAAGAAAGGAAATGCCATAAAGCAGGGCAGCATAAAGCCGTTTCCATGGCGAGTCCTGCTGTCCCTCCTGTGCTGTGTGGTGCCCCAGAGGCTCTCAGCGAGTGTCTTGACAGCAGCAGCTCTCCGAGGCTAAGGTAACTCAGGCTCCCCGCACCCTGCTCACGCCATTCGCTCTCCCGAGACGCGCGTCACCTCTTCCCTTCTTACTAGTTATCAGTGGGTTTTTCTATTGATCATTACACATTCTTTTTGGAAGCAAGTAAGCAACATATACAAGACTGCCATACCACAACGTGAGGGCTACTGCAGGGATAAGCAATAACTAATAGTCTACCTTTACTACTTGTACATTTTCATTTTGTTTTAGTATGTCAGAGAGATACCTCACAAAATTAATATGAATGACACTTTGCTTCTAAACCTCTTCTGAGAGTTCATGATGAATCAGCACTGTACTACATAACTTTAAATTTTCTATCGTCCAGCACATGAGTTAACCAGATTCTGGAGCTGGATAAACCTAGGTTCCAATCCCAACTCCCCATCTTGTGGGAACCAACTGTGTGAATGTGGGCAAATCACTGACTTCTGCATAATGGGAATATAATAATACTTGACTTGTACGGGTGTGGCAAGAATTTAGGGATAACGTGTATAAAACACTTAGCAAAGAGCCTGGCACACAAAATATGCTCCACTTACGTTAGCAGAATGTTAATAGAAACTGTAGTATTGTTATTCAAAATGTTAAGTTTGAAATCATGTAAAACTTCAGAAAAAGTGTTAGTAGCTTACCTCAACTTTTTTATTCAAATCTTTACATTCTTGTACTAAACAATCTTTGGTTCCATAGAACAGATAAACAGCCTATGGAAAAAAAATGACAAAAATCAGGTATTAAAACAATCCCACAAATTTTGCAAACATTAAGGAAAATGTAGATAAATCTAGCAAACATTTACTAATCACTCTTGAATACAAAAAGGTTGATGGAAGTACTGAAATTTTTTTTTTTTTGGTACCGGAGATCGAACTCGGGACCTTGCGCTTGCGAGGCAGGTGCCGGAACCACTGAGCTAAATCCCTGGCCCTGAAATGTTAATTACTAACTACAAACAGCAATATTTATTGCCTTCCTAACAATATTAATAGAAGTGAATAACTTTAAAATTTGAAATAGTTGTAAAACCGAACCAGTAATACAACTGTTTTACATCTATTTTTCACATGCTGTTGCTCAGTCACTAAAAGTCATTGAAAAGATTCCCAAACAAGACTTCCACTAAAGGGCTCGGCTGGGCAGTGAGCGGAGCGGGGGCCTCGCTAAGAGCTGCGGGGAGCCGGCTGCGCCTTTCAGGCCTCACCTCCCTGTGGAGGTCTCCATGATATGCCTTTTCATTAATGGTTCAACCAAGAACTTATTTTGCCTAAAATTTCTTTGCAGTTGTAGCTGTCATTTAAGGCAACTCTATTTCACTTAGTTTCTATCTAAGCAAAATGTTTTACAAAACAGTCTAACTTCTGACTTGAAAAAATCTGTTAGTAAAATACATTGAAGAACATGACAGTCCTACACAAAACACAGCAGGTAAATGTTTCCACAAGTTAGTTCAATCCAAATTTAAGAGGGCTAAATATAATTGAACTATTGGTTTTTACTGTACCTTTGGTGATAAGCAGGAAATGTTATTTTATCCAACACACCTTATTAAGAATTCTGCTAGAAAACAGAGATGGCGCCTTCTCACGATGAGCATGAAAATTGAGAGCCATGAGCGCATCAGGTCCAATGGAAAAATAGTTGTTCATTGTGAATTCCTGGGAGAAAGGGTGAGGGTGAGTAACGGACACTGCCTCCGTCCAAGCGGGGTCCTACTGAAATATGCAAGTCTTAGTTTTGGGTTCTTTTGGAAAACTGAGTACTTTTCGTATCTATTTTCCATACACAGCTATAATGCACTATCCGATGAAGTTAGGAGAAACAGGGCTTCCGTTTCAGGCTGACGACCACAGACAAGAGCCTCTGTACTTCTGCGTACTATACCGCACCAGGCCTCCTGGGTCGGACTCTGCTGCCTGCACCCTGCCCCTCACTTGTGTGTCGCTGCATCGGCTCTGTACCTTCCTGGGGGCTCTCAGCTTCTGCCCCAGGCCCAGCTGTGCCCTTGATTCACCTCACTCCCCACTCGGCCTCCACGGCCAGCTCTGTGCTTGTTCCTAAGCAGTGAGCCCAACTGCCAGCTCCTTGGTCAACACTTCATAGCTGTCTGTGTTGATAACGTTCCCAGTCTAACTCATTTTCTTTCTACCAAGCCTGAGACTCCCTATCTTTGTCTAGGTTAATGTCATATCCATATTCCCAATTATAAAAATTAGAAATGCGGTAGTAATACATATTTTCTCTTTTCCCTTTAAACCAACTGATTGCCCAGTCTTGACCAGTTCTAACTCTGAAAGATCTCTGAACTGTCTTCATCCTAAGAATCCCCTTGTTTCTGTCGCAGTGCAGGCTCTTAAGCCACTTTCACATTAACTTCAGGGAGGGGAAAAAAGAAATTGGGCTAGCCTTGAGCTCATTATGTAGCCCAAGTTGGTCTTCAATTTGTGGTGATCCTCCTGCCTCAGTCTCCAGAGTGCTGAGATTATAGACATGTGCCACCATGCCTGACCAGAATATATTTTTAATTTTGTGGTACTGGGGATTGAACCCAGGGCTTCCACATGTGCCAGGCAAGTGTTCTACCATTGAGCTACATCCCCAGCTCCAGAATATCCTTTTATTTATTTTTTTGAGACAGGGTCTCATTCTGTAATTCAGGCTGGCCTCAACTTGTGGCAATCCTCCTGCCTCAGCCTCTGGAATTACAGGTGTGTGCTGCCACGCCCAGCTAGAATATCCTTTTAAAACACAGATGTGGGTTGGGAGTATAACTCAGTGGTAGAGAGCCAGTACCAGCAGACAAAAACACATCTCTAATCTCTGTGCTTACCAACCATGCTTCACACTCTCCAGCGGAGTCCTTAGTTCCTTTCTCTACTGATCTAAGTTGTATTTGCCTTCTAAAACCAACCTGCACTTCACTTCCTCTGCAGTCTTCCCAGCCTCATCTGCCATGCAGAATCAAGTGCTCTTGTACCTTCCCTCTCTCATAGTGTCATGCTGTAGAGACCCACTAAAGAGGTGGGCACACAGGTCTCTTCTGCTCCACAGTCAGCTCCCCTGAGCTAAGCACAGGTCTGTGTCCTGCGAGAGTGCTTCACCTGTGCCATGGAGGTGCTCCATGTGTGCTTGTTCGAACTACTCTGGAAGCCAGGCATGGTGGTGAGTGCCTGGAATCCCAGCGCTCGGGAGGCTCAGAGGCAGAAGAATTGCTAAGAGTTCCAAGGCCAGCCTGGGCTACGTAGTTTAAGCTCAGCCTAAACTACATAGTGACACTACGTCAAAAAAAAAAAAAAAAAAAAAGCAACAAAAATCTCCCCCAAACAAAAAAACTACTCAGAACTGAAGCACTGAAAACATACCTTGGGTTTTCTTAGGTTATAATATCCTTTATTGGTGACCTGAACTTTCCATCTATAAAAGAGAAGTTTAAAAAATTAGTACTTTTTACCAAAATATCTTTACTCTGGATGCCCAATAGGTAGCTTTTCTATTAAAATAGCATTTGAGAAAGTATCCACATTTAAGTAAGACTGCAAATTTTTTAAAGCAAAACATTTATTGGTACATTTTAGATACACATAATGATAACAGTCATCATAGGGAATTTGTATCTGTACTTGATATATCTTCCTTCTTTTTTTCCCATTCCCCTCCCCGCCCTTTGACCTCTCTTTCCCTTATTTACAGAAGCTTGTCTGCTAATTTGGGGAAGTATCAGCATAATCTTTAACTTTCCACCTTTCACTGTAACAAATAAGATATCAGCATCTAGGTACAAAGTCTTTTACATCTAAATTATGTTTAAGTTTAGAGCTACACAAGTTTTCATTTAAAACCAAATAATATTCTGAAAATGCAAGAAACAGACTTTTTGGCAAAGTGTACCTTACCGATCTAGTTTGATTCCATCTGCTTCCATTACATTTCTCAAGACCTGTGCAACTGGGATTTCTCCAGCATAACCTGTACCCCAGCCCAGTGTATTGGACAGATCGTTGCCTGTTCCCAGAGGCAAGACTGCAACCTGGGGAATGTATTTTTCTTGTCCCTACGATACAGAGATAGAGTTCAGACGTCTCTTTAGACCAGTTGTAGTATAGTAATATTTTGTAAAATGGAAAGACCAAAGCAGCAGAGACACACATAAAGTGCAGGTTGTGTTAACTGCTTGAGGACAATCTCATACTATTCGAATCAGCAATGTCTTCTACTATCCCCCTCAATAAAAACACTGTCTATTCATCTTAGAAATGGCCCTGCAGAGCCGGGGATTTAGCTCAGTGGTTCTGCCGCCTGCCATGCACACGCAAGGACCCAAGTTCAATCCCTTGTACACCAAAAAAAAAGGAAATGGCCCTGTAGTTTTACAGTGCTGGGGACAGAACCCAGGCCGTGTGCACGCTAGGCAACAGTGGCCACTGGCTGGGTCCGCCTCCCTGAGCTCTGCCCCGGCCCCGCTGGGTTCTGAGGGTGAATACCTTAATCTTCATCTCATCAACTGCGTCCAGGACCCAGCCCACAGTACCATCCCCTCCGCAAACGAGGACCCGCGCTGAGTGACAGGGAAGAAGAGTGCAAAGTTGCAGGGCTTTGACTGGAGGAGTTTTAGTTACATCAAAAACCTAGAAATGAAAGAACAAGGCAAAGTTATTTTTGCCCGTCACTGCCCTTCACCTGAGTTGACAGGACCAAGTAACAGCGGCACTGGCCTGGCCCCGTGCTGCACTCTACTCACTGTGCTCTACTAACTAGGACACTGGCACAGGGGGGTTAGTTTAGATAACTAAATGCTGAAATACACATCGAGCTATTATTATGTATTATTATCTTCCCTCTGTTCACACGAAACCACATGTACCTTTAACTAGTTTTCTCTTTGGTAGTGCTGGGGATCAATCAAACCTATGGCCTCACACATACACTGAGGTACACACACCTCCTGGTCTCAATGGTTTTAATAAACTATCACGAGTGCAAGTTACTAGACTTATGGGAAATAGTTTCGCAAAAATAAAGAATGACAAAAAAATGCAAGAATCCTTGATATCCATAAATGACTCTAGAAAAATAATTTCTTTTTTTCTTGAGATAGGGTCTCGCTATGTAGTTCCGGCTGGCCTTCAACTCACTATGTTGCCCAGGCTGGCTTTGAACTCGTGGTGATTCTCCTGCCTCAGCCTCTGGAGTGCTGCTATTATAGGTGTGTACCATCACGGCAGGCCTAGGAAAATAATTTCAAGAGACAAAAAAAATAGCTAAGTGTGGTGGTGCACATCTGGCCTGTAAACCCAGCACTCTGGGAGGCTGAGGTAGGAGGATCTCACGTTCAAGCCCAGCCTGGGCAACCCAGAGTCTTGGTGTTACTTGTAATAGTACAAACTGGATACATTATACGTGTTTAATTATTTTAGTCATAAGATATGGAATTATTAGGACTTTGTTGCAATGGGGAAAATATTTATACCATTAAGGAAATAGCACACATATCTGTATCTATATTATTGGTAGAGCACTTTTTTTTTTGGTACCGGGGATTGAACTCAGGACCTTTCGCTTGCGGGGCAGGCAGTGGCACCACTGAGCTAAATCCCCGGCCCTGGTAGAGTACTTTTAATAGATGCCTAGACTATTCATAGGAAGAAGAGGGACAGATGAAAACAACTATTGTATTTGTGTGAAAAAAATGAAGAGATTTCCTCTTTCCTTTTTTATTACCTTTACATGTTTCTTATATATAAAATTTGAAAGAGTAAAACATAAAAATAGAAAGGAAAAAAGTTATTGTGTTTCTGATTGTTGCATAATGGGTTAGTTTTCCAAACCATGTGCACTTTAATAACAAGATTCTTCCTTTTCTTAAAGAACTGAGGTATAACTTTATATCATAAAATGTACCCATCTAAAGTGAACAAATACATAATTTTTAGTAGGTTTATCAAGTTGTGCAACCACCACCGTAGTCTAGTTTAGGGTGGCACTGGAAATTGAACCTGGGCCTTTGCACTGAGCTATATCCCTATCCCTTTTTTAAGTTTTTATTTTGAGACAGGGTTTTGCTATGTCACCCATGCTGGGCTCAAACTTGCGATCCTCTAGCCTCAGCCTCCAGAGTACTGGGATTACAGGTAAGTGTCAGAACATTTCTGCTGCTTTGATAAGATCCTGCCATACTGCTCTGCAGTCATTCTGCATGTCCAGCCCCAGCCTCAGGCAATCTATCATCTCTATGGATACACCTTTTCTGGTAGGTCACATAGATGGAACCAGGCAACAGTGGTCCCTTGAGCCTATCTTCTTGCACTCAGCATAATGTTCTCTGAAGTTCACTTACTGTAATACTGTATGTAGCTGGCTACTTTATGTCACTGAGTAGTGTTCCACTGTGTGGGTATCTTCTTTATCCACTTACCACCTGATGGACAGTCAAGCTATTTCTATTTGCAGACTACTATGAATAATGCTATGAACATGTGCATGCAAGTCTGTGGGATGTGTTTTCATTTTCCTTAGGAAGATTCTTGGAAGTGGGATTCCCAGGTGATTTGGTTTCTATTTTTCCACACATTTGAACAGCTTAATCCTTTTATAATTATTATTCTTTCCTATAACTAAGTGATTAGTAACTTAAAGCACTAATAACCATTGCATTTTAAGGAAAGAAGAGCTAAAAATGAAGATTAATAAAAGAAGGTTTTTCTCTTTAGTTACCTGGACTGGATTTAACAGGATCTTAAATTCTCCCAATAGTCCTTCTCCCATGTTAGTTCCACTACGAGAGTTGGCCAGGATTATTAATGGGGTCCACTGCTTTCCAAACTTGGATGCTAGCTGAAAAAATTAACACAAATGAAAAGGGGTTAGTATTTCAGAGATAACAAACACAACATATTTTTATTCTTTGATAACAATCATTCTATAATTTACTGAAATAAGAACTATGCCAGTATTATCAATACAGCATGAAAATCAAGTAATTCTAAGAATGGAAGAGGACCTTAGAGATTAAACTTCCACTTAATGCAGGATTCTCTTCGACCTCACTCTAGCTAAGTCATCCAGCACATGCTTGGATGCTCACATGAGAAGGGAGCTCACTAAGAAGATAGCCAGTTCCCCTGCTAAGTCACATCAGTGGGAAGTTCTGACCTGAGCTGAAAATCTGTCATTCACTGTTCTAATTTTGCTTCTAACTCAACCAGGAATCACTTATTTTCCCACCTAATTGTAGAGCTCAAACACTTGAGGCTTCGTAGGGTGAATATCCTGTATCTGAAACACATGGAACCAGAAGTGTTTTGGACTTTGGCATTTTTTTTTTCTTTTGGGTACTGGGTATCAAACTCAGGACCTTGCTGAGCTAAATCCCCAGCCCAAGACTTTGGCATATTTGCACATACATAATGGGATATCTTTTTTTTTGGGGGGGGGGTCTCATTATATAGCTCAGAGGCTGGCCTTGAATGCACAGCCATCCTCCTGCCTCAGCCTCCCGAGTACTGGGATTATGCTTTCACACTGAATTCAGATAAGGGGTTGTATATTAAAAAAAAAGGTATCACATTGAAGTTTAAATCTCAGCACTTGGGAAGCCAAGGCAAGAGGACTGGTAAGAGTTTGAGGGTAGCCTGGGCTACACAGTGAATTCAAGGCCAGCCTGGACTGAATATTGAGACTCTTGACTCAAACTCCATTCCTCCCAATTTAAAAAATTTTTTATTTTATTTTTTATTTTTCTCCTCCATTTTCTTTTAAAGTGCACCAGTCAAGGTAATGGATAGTGATGCATACCTGTAATTATAGTATTGGAGGTTGAGGCAGGAAGATTGCTGGGAGTCCCAGGGCAGCCCGGACTACATATGGAGTCAGTTACTTTCTCTCTCTCTCAAATCCCCTAACCCAAAATTTAAAGTTTATCTTTTCTTTGCAGGAATAGCAATAAAGATAACACTGAAGATAGAAATTCTTAACTTGAAAAAAAGTACAACTTAATTGTAAAATAAAATAGTTCAATTATTTTGGCATATTCAAGTATGAAATAAATCTGTAAAAATTTTTTTTTTCTTTTCTTTTTTTTTTTTGGTAGGGGGGCTCAGTGCTGGGATTGAACCTAGGGCATTCATCTGGAGCTACACCCTCAGACCTTGGAACTCACGAAGTCCCCAAGGTAGGAGCTGAACTTTTGATCCTCCGGCCTTTGCCTCCCAGTGTTGGGAATACAGGCATGTACTGCTACACCTGGATAAATCTGTTAAATCTTTATAATTATTCCTTCAGAAGTGGCTAAAGACTGAGAGATATATTTACACCAATTTTCATACATATATGTTCATACCGCCAACCCTGTCAAGAGCTTCAATGTCTGGTGTTACTTATGGAAGTCCCTAATGTGCCATGTAAACTTTTCTCTAGAGACAATTTACAAAATTCCACATGAAAAAATTATCTTAATGCATGGCATGAGGAAAATCTGTTTTCTTTTCATTGACAATAATAACGAATTCCAAACCTGGCTATCATTGCAAATCACCTGAGGACCTTAAAAAACAAATATGGATTCCTGGGACCTACCTGAGACCTATTAAATCAAACACAGCAATAGAGGTGGACTCAAGAATCTATGTTTAGGGCTGGGGATTTAGCTCAGTGGTTTCACCGCCTGCTGCGCAAGCGCAAGGACCCAAGTTTGATCCCCGGTACCAAAAAAAGAAAAAGAATCTATGTTTAAAAAGCTCTGCGAGCAACTGAGATGCAGGCAGTGGATGAGAAACCACTAGCACATGTCCAATTTCCCTCTACGAATGAGAGAACTCAAGAACCAAAATCTGTGACACAGCTCTAGGAACTGGGTAGGATTTCACAGCTTACCATAATGACATTTTGTATCTCCCCTTGGTGTTAACCTTCTTTTAAAATTTCTTCCTGGTCCTGATTTTTCTTATATATATATATGGGATTAATGATCTCACATACTGACTTAAATAACTTTTTAAAAAACCAATCATATAAGGAAGATAAACTCTAATTACCACTTCATAATCTGTTTTTTTGTTTTTACGCATCTGGTTAATGGAAGTTATGTAACCTGGTGGAATGATGAGGTTTTTAAATTCTCCAAAATCACACTTCTCATTCTTTAAGCTATTTTTCATGCATTCATCATGTACTGTTTTCTGACACCAAATGCACCTGAGAGAAGGAAGAAACAAAAATTAATTAATTTTAAACCACAATCTTTCTGACCCATTATCGTTTGTCAAAAACTGCAACAGTCCTGGGGATTTAGCTCAGTGGTTCTGTTGCCTGCCTTGCAAGCAACGGATTCCCCGTACCCAAACAAACAAACAAACAACTCCAAAAACCCTGCAACAGTAATTTTATCTGTTGAGTATAAATTATGACGTAGATATATGCATATGCATCTGTACCTGATAGTGAAAACAGAGCTATAAGGTTTCAAATTATTTGGCAATTCAACAGTGGTTCTTAAAGTGTGGTCTGGTGCTCCGAGATCCTTTTAGGGTATCTGTGAGGTTCAAATCATTTTTTTTTTTTGGTACCGGGGATCGAATCAAATCATTTTAATAATACTAAAAAATTATTTTACCCTCATTCTCTCAAAAGTGTACAGCAGAGTTTCCTGGAAGGTAGGTGACACATGTTCTACCACAAAAGACTGAATATACAAGCAGACAGGTCAATGTAGCTGACTTCTTAGCCAAAGAAATGTGTAAAAATGTGCAACAATGTCATTCTTCTCAGTGTATTTTCATAAAAACACATTGTTTTAAAAAAGAATAAATATTTTAACAACTTTAGCTCTTATTTATAACCTCCTAAATATCAATGTTATCATCCACATGACCAAGTGCTGATCTTGAACAATGGATGTATGCATAAGCTGCTTAAGCGTTAGCTGAAATACATGAGCGAGGTCTACAGACTGTGCTGCCTACATGTGCCAGTGAAGGGCTGTGAAGACCTTCTCAGGCCCAGCTTGGAAACCTCTAAACTTGGAATGTAAGTAAAATAGCCCAATTCTTTTTAATAGTTGATATAAAAAGTTGTATGTTTGTTTTGAAATACATAAGCTCCCTTTTTTTTGGGGGGGGGGTACCGGGGATCGAACTCGGGACCTTCCACTTTCGAGGCAGGCGGCGGCACCACTGAGCTAAAGCCCTAGCCCACTGTTTTTGAAATACAGATAAGTATATGTACTCAGATTTGCCTCTGTGTATGACAAGCAGGGAACAGTGCTGGTAAAGTCTAGGGTTTCCATTATTAATCTGTTAAGCATTTAATCCATTAACAGGTAAGGTAAATCTGACTGGACCAAAGCAGGGCACCAGAAAAGAATGGTTATAATTACATAGGTAATTTTTAAATTGCACACCTGTAATCCTGGCAATCTGGGAGGCTGAGGCAGGACGGCTGCAAGTTCTGGTCTAGCCAATGCAATTTAGCAAGACCCTGTCTCAAGATAAATAATAGAAAAAGGGGTGGAGAGGTAGCACAGGGCAAAGACCCTGGAGTCAATCTCCAGTACTCCAAAAAACCCCAAAACATAAATGCTTTTTCACCTGGATGTCAACTCTCTTGGCTTTTTTTTTTTTTTTTTTTGTACTGGGGATCAAACTCAGGACTTTCTGCTTGCGAGGCAGGCGCGGTGCCACTGAGCTCCATCCCTGGCCCGCTTGGCTTTCTTTTGAAGTGTTTTTTTCCTTCTGATACTCAGATTTGTCAGGTACTTACTGTTCTTCACTCAGACCTAGTCACTGCTAAAAACAGTTACACGTATACTGTGTTCAGAGGAAACTGCAGTGCAACCTGCATGATGACGTCTGCCGACTCCTGCTTCCAAGTTGACTTGAGAAGGTACAAGATGGTTACACAGTTAAGTGTGAAGCCTCCACAGACTAGCCTACCATTCACTGAAAAGTAGCTCATCGTGTTCATTTTTCCTCAGATCACCAACACATTTACCTGTCTGTGGGAGACAGGGCTGAATCGCCCATGCACTTTTAGGCTGGCTAGGCCTAGAGATGTGGTACCCACACTGCACAGATAACCAGAGCCTGCGTGTGACAACTCCACACACCCACATCAGTGAGGGGACACATTCTGCAGTCTCGCGGTTCCTCTTCAGAAGCTGCTGTCCTTGTATGAGATAACTAGGGATCTAACCCAGGTCCTCAGGCATGCTGGGGCAACACTTACCACTGAGCTATACTCTCAGCCTGGTTCGTAAGATGCTCTCCTACAATTTGCTTTCTGTATTTCAATATAAACTCATATACTACCCAATCATTTGAAAGTAAATGGCAGATACTGAGTTTGCCTTTCAAAGTTTTGGTAAGTATTTGTTCAACTCAACGACAGCCTGTTTGCTTTAAAAAATATATTGTTTTAAACTTTGTTCCAGTGAACACTGGTATACCTACTACCTATAGTCTAGCATTAACATCTTACTATAATTGCTTTGTCACATTTCTATGCATTCATTAATCCATCTCTTTTCTGGTACAGTTGCTAGAAAATTGCAGATATGAAAATACTTTCCCTAAATTTCTCAAGAAGGTTTATCATTGTTCAGAACTGTCAATAGGTTTTTCTCTTTGCTGTTAAATTATTATTATTATTATATATATATATTTTTTGGTACCAGGGATTGAACTCGGGACCTTGCGCTTATGAGCCAGGGGCAGCACCACTGAGCTAAATCCCTGGCCCTTTGCTGTTAAATTATATACAATGAAATGTACAAATATATACATTTGCTAAAATGCGATAAATGAACAGATTCATGCAACTAAAACCGTTATCAAGATATAGAACATAGCTAGGTATAGTGGTGCACGCCTGTAATCCCAGCTCAAGTGACCCTCTCACCCTCAACCTCTCAAGTAGCTGTAACTACAGGTGCATATCATGGTGCCTGGCTCTGCTTTAGTATTAAAAATTTTTTAGGGGGTCGGGGATTTAGCTCAGTGGTTGCTGCTGCCTGCCTTGCAAGCACAAGGTTCAGAGTTCGATCTCCAGTACCAAAAAAAAAATATTTTTTGAGACAGGGTCTCCTTGTGTAGTTCAGGGTGGCCTTGAACTCACTATGTAGTAGCCCAGGCTGGCCTCAAACTCATGGTGATCCTATCTCAGCCTCCCAAATGCTGGGATTACAGATGGTTGTCACCATGCTTGGCTTCTGGGTTTAGTTTTCTTTTTTGGTACCACGGATTGAACTCGGGACTTTGCACTTATGAGGCAGGCAGCAGAACCACTGAGCTAAATCCCTGGCCCTTAGTTTTTAAAAACAGTTTATGAAGGAAAAAAAAATACCAGCAATGCTTATTATTTTTGCTAGAAACAGTTGCTTGTTCACAATGGTTGTCTTTCTACACTGGAGGAGGTAGCTGAATTATATATGAATTTGAGATGGTCATTTATGAGAATTACACTAGAACAGGGTTTGGCAAACTGATCCTGTGAATAAACGAATATAGCTATGACTTCTGGGAAGATGGTGGAGTGGTGAGCAGCAGACAAAGAACCTCGCCAGCATTTGGTGTCCAGAAATTGAATATAGTGGCATGAGGAGGAAAAGAAGGAGGGAAGTGGGTCCCCAGGACCCAGGAGGGATCTGAAGCAAGAATGGAAGTCGACGGGGAGAGTCAAGAGACAGACTTCAATGAAAAAAAGGGAGGTGGCAGGCAGTGCTCTGTCCCAGTCTGGACTCACGGCATGAGAAGGGCAAGTTGAACCTGCAGACACACGGTGACTACCGGCGACTCCAGAGGCTTCCGTGGAGAAAGGCACCAGTGGAACGGAGCAATGCATGCAGCAGACTGCAGTGGCTGGGTCTCGCTATGTAGTTCAGGCTGGTTTTGAACTCACAGTGGTTCTCCTGGCTCAGCCTCCCAAGTGCTGGGATTACAGGTGTGAGCTACCACACCCAGCAAGAAGTACAATCTTGCAACAGACTCAAAACCCAAAAAGTCAGCTATACCTGGAAGACACCGCTGAGAAGTAGTCATTTCCCAGGAATTTAAAAAGAAAAAGAAGAAAAGAAAATGAGAAGATATTTTAAAAAGATGCAATTCCCCAGACTTTCAGCTTTCCAAAAGCAAACCCAGGGGGCAATGAGGTGGAACAATTTGTTTCTCCTGTCGTTATGTCAGCATTTATGTAGAGATCAATAACTCGGGTCCTTGTGCTTGCGAGGCAGGCGGTGGAACCACTGAGCTAAATCCCTGGCCCGAGGTGGAACAATTTGAAACTCACCCTCCTGGACTCTCTGAAATGGTAACAGTGGAAGTAACAAAGCAAATGAATGAGGCTCTAGAAAAATTCAAAGCAGAAATAATTTCTCAGATAATACAGAGATGGTAACCAGAATGAAAGACATGTTTAGTCTGTAAAGCAGATAGTCCATAAAATATCCAAACAGATATCCATGAGATTAAAAAATGCCATTGAAAGTATATGCAGAGGTGGGGATTTAGCTCAGTGGTTCTGCCACCTGCCTTGCAAGTTCGATCCCCAGTACCAAAAAAAAAAAAAAAAAAAAAAGAAAGTAGATGCAGCAAAATGAGCCAATGTGAGGACAGAATATCTGATATAGAAGACGGGATTGTGGTTAGCAATAATGAAGAGAAGAATTTCTTAAAAATAGCAAGGGACCATGAGACATCATTCCAGCAGCTGCTAGATGATGCAAAGAAGAATAACATAAGATGGATGGGAGTCAATGAAAAAGCAGGACAGGATAGCACAAATGACATAAAAAACCTGTTAACAGAACTAATGGCAGAATACTTCCCAAGCATAGCAGAAGAATTTGACATACAGGTAAGTGAGACATATAGAACTCCAATTAGCCATGATTAAAAAAAGTCTTAACCAAGGCATATAATAGTCAAGATTACAGAAATTCAACACAAAAGCAGAATATTAAAAGCTGTTAGAAGGTCAGGGATGTAGCTCAGTGATGCTGTGCCTGCCTGACAAGCACAAGGTCCTGAGTTTGATCCCCAGTACCAAAAAAAAAGTGGTTAGAGAAAAGAAACAAATCACCTATAAAGGAAAGTCGAGAATCACAGCAGACTTCTCAACACAAACCCTCAAGGTAAGCAGAGCTAGGAGTGAAGTATTTCAAGCCCTAAAGGAAAACAACCTCCAACTCAGACTGATTGCAA